GCTGCTGTGTCAGGCTCCCCACTTCTCAGAAATGAGCTCTCCGTAGGAAGAGGAAGTCTGTCTGTAGGATGGGTACTGCCTTGATGCCACAGGAGCCATATTAAAAGCCTCCTCACCCTGCTCAGGTGACCGTTTCTTCTGGAAAATGGTCAGTGTTCGCTTCTTGATGCACGTGACCAAGCCCAGGGGATGTTTGGGGTTTTTTTCCCTGCAGTTTTGCCATTCCGTGTCACCCCCCCCTCATCTCTGTGCCGGGCCCTGCAGCCGCAGCCTGACCCCAGCTCAAGAACTCGTCCTTGTCCCGTGGCAGGGCCGGTGCCTGGCTGCAGTCTTGGGCCAGCTCGGATGCGAGCGGAGTTGCTGGAATTGGACAGATCTTACATAAGCAGGAAGAGAGTCGTACCGCGCCGAGGATGCTGCCAGTCCTCCGGGAGCCGTGTGGAGGGTGACGCTCATGCTGCTTTATGGTTGGTTTGTTTTAAAGGACATTTCTTTCTCCATCTCCAGCGTAAGGAAATGACTGCGTGCAAATGCATCCCCGGGACTGATTTCCTGCTGGGGATCTCGGCAGGCTAGGCACCTGCTGTCCACATTGTTGGTGGCCTGGGCCCCTGCTGTCCACATGGTTGGTGGCTTGGAGCCGGTCCTGCCTCGGCTCCAGACGTGGCACCGCGCTGAGCGGGCGCAGTCCCCGGGTGCCTCCGCCCCAGTGTTTTGCTGCAGGATGTGGTCAGGCTGTGACACAGCTCTCAGTAACCAAAGCTGCTGCCTCATGCCCAGATGTCCCCCCGCGCCATTCGCTACTTCCCCTAACCGCGCCTGTGCTGTGGTCACACACCTCCTAAGGACACGTTTTCGGCGGTTTTCTTCTTTTCGACTCTCACTCGGGGTCGCAGCAGCTGTTTTAGCGTGTGTGGTGAAAGCACACGTGCCGTGAATTCACCTTGCAGCCCAGAGTGGTTCTCGCTGAGCCGCGTTAAAATCGGGTTTTGGTTTCTCCCGACGCGTGTCGTGGCCCGTGTTGCAGCAGAAGTTTGGATCTCTGCTGTTACAGAGGTTACTGAGCCTGTTCCCGCAGGAAAAGCAGCGCTGGGAAATGTTGAGCCTGCTCTTAGTGGGACAAACTGAAGTGGTTTGGGTTTTCTTCCTTGCCATAATTAAATAAGAAAAACAAGAGGCTTTGGTTTAAATCTAATCTTTCTCCAGAGAAAAAGTGCTGATTAGCACACTGCAGCATCTGTCGGAGATGGGCTGAGCTGCGGCGAAGGTGGTCTTGACCTTGAATTTGGGATTTTCCTGCCAACATTTGAGGGCACAGATTACCTGTTTGAACAACACTGTGGCTTCATGTAAACCTAAGCAGATCTCTGCTTGGTGACAGGGA